GGATGTGGAGAAGCTTGAGAGAGTGCAGAGAAGAGCCACGCGCATGATCAGAGGTCAGGGAAGCAGACCCTACGATGACAGGCTGAGAGCCCTGGGGCTCTTTAGCCTGGAAAAGCGCAGGCTCAGGGGTGATCTGATGGCCACCTACAAGTTTATCAGGGGTGACCACCAGTATCTGGGGGAACGTTTGTTCACCAGAGCGCCCCGAGGGATGACGACTAGGTCGAATGGTCATAAACTACTACAAGACCGTTTCAGGCTGGACATAAGGAAGAAATTTCTTTACTGTCTTAGCCCCCAAGGTCTGGAACAGCCTGCACCGGAGGTGGTTCAAGCGCCTACATTGAACACCTTCAAGAGCAAACTGGATGCTTATCTTGCTGGGATCCTATGACCTCAGCTGAGTTCCTGCCCTTTGGGCAGGGGGCTGGACTCGATGATCTTCTGAGGTCCCTTCCAGCCCTAATGTCTATGAAAAAATCTATGAAATCTTCATTGTCCATGCAGCCATGGGTGGTCACGAGCAGGTAACAGAGCTCAAGGACACGGGTTCCCAGGACCACAGTTGCATCAGCACCACAGTGCACAGGGCTGTACTCTAGCCTGCACACAAGCTCAACAAGCTACCACTAGAAATTCTAGTAGTTCCAAACTTCTCCGTAAGAAGCCCAACACATGCAGGAGGTAAGGATCCATGCCAGAAGCCAAGCAAAGTTGGCAAACCTTTTACAGTCTAAACTGACTGTGTGTAGTGGCTCTATACCTCCTGGTAATATGGCAAAAAGGAGGTAGTCCCTGGGTGGGGAACCAATTACTGTTTTGTTCTCAGCACTCAGCTGTCCTCAGGGACCTCCAGAGACCAAAGCTCCTACAAGGTACTCAATACACCTGGACCCTTGGCTACAGAGTGCCAGTAGTGCCTGCTGCTGACCTGCTTTGTAGTGCAAAGGACAAGCTACCCCTTGTAGCATGTGGATACGCATGTCATACTACACATGAAAGTCTATACATGCCATTTAAAAACAGTCCTTTGGATATTTCAAAAGCTAACAATCATCAACGTAAGCCATTTTCTACACCAATACAACTTGCCATTTTAATGGCTATTCAACTTATTTTCAAATTAGAAAAGAAATTTTTAAGTAACCCATCAGATAACACCACAAAAAGCATAATTGAAGCACACTTGTAGAAAACACAGAAATCTTTTAAAGTGTTATATAGGAAGCAATTTACATCTTTAAAAGATTTCCAAGACTTATGACTTTACAAACCAATCTGGCATCATCTCCTATGTGAGGATGTTAAGAAAATGACACAGGGGGAAACAAAGTCAAAACAAGTTCACATGTCTAAGATAATTAACTTAGGGAATTGCAAGTCATACTACTGCATATACACTGCTGCAAAACCTCCATCTGGTCTTGTCAGCTCTCTCAGGTTAAGGAGGTCAGGCCCAATCATAACTTCTTTGGCGGTCTCCACATAACATAGGTGTTGGAGGAATGAGTTCTAATGTTTTCTTACATCAGTACTGAACCAATGCTATAGCATAACAATAAAGCAGCTCTGTGTTGCTGGAACACCCATTCTGCAGAGGAGATAAAACAGACTTGACAACTGGATTTTGTTTTGCTTTTTAAACTCAGCGTCATTCTCTACACAAAAGTAGAAGTGTTCATCCTAGTTTTCTAGGGAAAAGTCTGATTTATGATATTACGATCTGCCTAATTAAAATATTCTCAGCATATTTTTAAATGGAGAAATTAATCACTTCCCTGACAGAGAAAGCAATGTGTAATGGTATAGTCATTCTTGTTATTGTCAAAGAATGTCTGAAGTCTTCCATCTCACTGTTAACAGCATGATTGTGTCTAGAGTCTGTCAAGTGCCTTGGGGTCCGTCAAATTGAAAGGCACTATATAAATGGAGATTAATAGTAATATACAACATCGGAGGAGGCTGATGCATCACAGGATTTTTTTCTAGTTCTTGATCACTCCTTTTAACAACCATAAGTCTTGCCAATTATAGGAATGATAACATTAATTAACAACATTTTTCATTTGTATTAAGTAGCCTCCTATAGCCAGAAAGCAGTATGGAACACTTAAGTGAAATCTCATCATTATAAATTATGGGAGGTTACTAAAGCAAAGGGAGGCCAACCTACCTACCACAGTAGAAACAAAGTGTGTAATAAACAACATTAAATATTAGGAATGAAAATAAGCTAAGTTCTCAGTGATGCCACCACCTTTGGACTCCTAGTAATTGCATGGTCACAAGTTTGAGCATACAGTAGTATACTGAAACCAAGCTGCTTTTGCATTTAATTAAGATGAAGAAATCTTATTGCTTACTTCATCTAGAGCAAAGAAAGGTGCCAAAGTCAAGTGGAGTTAACCTAACCTTGCTTACTTCCAGACACTGTTACAATAGACTTGATGATATCTTACGCTGGTCACATAGGCACAAAGACTGGCATATTTGATGCTCATTAACTAATCTGTAAACCTACTTGCAGCTTATTGCTGAGAGAGGTGCCCCATGCTAGCTTTCACTGAAAAACATTAGCTTGAAAAGCACAGAGCAGTGATTCTCAATCAGGGTGCCACAGAATCCTGGGTGCCTTGAGATCCTTTCAAGGGTGCCACACGGCACCGCACAGTGCTGTTAGGTGTACAAACACGATCTACAAGATGAACCTGGAGATAAATCCACAGCTGTGGTCTTTGAGTTCTCTGTAACTGAAAGAACACTTTTTTTTTTTTTCCTACAGAGAAATAGTAGAGTGAAAAACTAAGAGCCAACACTTCCCAACCGGTGCCTCAAATCTATCCAGGGGTGTCTAGTCTAAAGAGGTTGTGAACCACTGTCAGAGAGAAACCAATACAGCATGAAACTTCATTAAATAAATCCATATTGGAAAGACTTTTGGGAAATAAGTGAAAGCATGTTTTAGATAGATTGTGCCAGCATTAGAGAATCTACTCTGCAGTCTACAGGAAGGGAGGGGGTGGTACAGCTCCATAAACTTACCATAGCTTAAGTAAGGGCAGCAACATCTGAAAACCCCAAAGGGATCATGTCAAGTACATCTGTGTAATCACAGAACAGACTCGGTCATAAATTTGTCAGTCTTCCAAACCCCACAGAACGTAACTGTTGCATCTGGAAGGTGGAGCCCAACTGTACCCACCCAAAAGGCACTCTCCTCTGTATAGAGTGGAACTGTAGCAGAAGAACTGCCTTACAAAGTTTGCTGTTACTCCTTTGGTCAGGGTGATATTGATTTCCAAATAGCTTCTTTGGGGGTATTGCTCTAAAAAGAAAGCAGCAGCAGGCGTTGCTCAAGAAACAAGTTGTAATGACATCCAAGTCCCCTTACCTCTTCCACAACAGTCCAGCACTTGCTGTTGCTGCAGTGGTTCCTATAAAAGCTGCAAACATAAGTCTGTGCCTGCTCCTGGTGTGATATGCCATTCCATGATGACGACGCAAAACCACTGTTAGTCCCGCTACTGCAGGAATAAGTCGAAGGCGTAACATCCTGTAACATACAGAGACAAAAGTTACTACAATAAAAGTGACCTGGTGAGCACAGTAATGCAAAGCCAATTTATTTTCATTAATGTTCATTGTCCTTTTAAACCAGGGTGTCCTCCAAGCCAAAGAATTCCGTATCTCATTCCCATTGTAGTCCAACTCGCAAAGGTCAAACTTTTCAAGGACTGCCAACCCAACAAACAAGTTTCCGATACAACAATCGAACAGGAAAATTAAAACAAACAAACAAACTCTTCTCCTTCCTACACTAATAGGTGCACCATTTCAATACTCATTTAGGGGGATTCTTTGCTAGAAACTTTACTTATCCACCAGTCAGTTTCTTATGGAGACTAGACAAACTGATAACCAAATCATGGTAATTCCACGTTGCTCCCAAGTTGATGGTAAGCGTAAGGCTAGAAACACAAATAAATTGCCCCCCTTTCATTTGAAGAGCTAAATTATCATTATTTAGCTCTCATTTCACCACAGGATAAAAAGTGAGCACATAAGCAGTTACTGAAAAGCAAGTGATGCATGGCAAGATCCTGTTCACATTTTCCTGTGATAAGAATTGTTCCTATGTCCATAACCTCTCTCACATTGATCCTTCACATATTGTGGTCCAACTAGGTACACATTTAAGTTTTTACTAACAAGGAAGAAATAGACTACACAAACAAGTATATTGCAGCAATCATTTACAAGTTCTTTGGAAATAAAGCTACTTCATACCGAGAAGTTTTACTTAATGAGTTGTTCTAAATTGAAGACATCACTTATTTTCACAAGCCTGGCCAATGTCCTTTTCTCCCCATAAAACTCAGCTGCCTACTCAGGTGTTCTTACAGCAGTTTTAACTCATCTAAGCCCCCCAAAACAGTGCATCCTTTTAAAGTAGCATCATTTTTCACAGAAAAAAAATGGACCCTAGAAACACTGCAAAAGAATTAAGTTCATGGTGCCTGACAAATTCAGTTTTAGATGGCAAACTAAAAGACTGGCAGAAGGCAGGGTAGATTTGCACCATGCAGACAAATGCATAAAACTTTTGCAAGCCTAAGCAAACTTCCACAGGTGCTAAAAGATTAACATAATTAATTTCACCAGAAGTCAGGGGACAGTAATATATTTTAAAACTCAAAGAAGCTAAGGCAAGGTAGAACCACAGGGACTAATATTTTAAAACTGATTTGCCAACTAGCCTACTGCTTAATATTTAGGACTTAACTTGCAATAAAAGGCAAACTTGAGGAACTAGAACAGGGGTGGGCAAAATGTGGCCCAGGGGCCGGATGCAGCCCGCCAGGCCATTCTATCTGGCTCGCGGGGCCCTTAAAAAAATTAGAAAATTAATATTTATCTGCCCTGGGCTGCCTGTCATGTGGCCCATGATGGCTTGCCAAAACTCAGTAAGTGGCCCTCTGCCCAAAATAACTGCCTGCCCCTGAACTAGAACATCTGCAAATACAATATATGCTTCACTGCAAAGGGTGATAATGTCAAGAAAAATGGAAGGTTTAGCTACCTCATTATTGAAGTTGCAAAATGAAAATATTTCATCTGAGAATAAGACAACTACAGGAGATACTGGTAGAAATAACAACAACAAAAAAAACCAAACACAAAAAGAGGGACTCGGAATTTTGCAAACTCAGAAAACAAACTTTTAAAATTAGAAGAGAAAGACAATCTTATAAAAAGTGTTAAGACTTACTGTGGTAAAAGACCACATCAACTGATACCCCCATTAACATCCTAAATGAATCAAACCATTACCTAGCTCAAAATACGAGAATCTTTAATGCATTTTCATGGAAAAGGTTTGTTGTTTAAAAAACAAACAAACAGTCTTATATTCTTCCTCTTGGCTTTCCATTCTGTCACCTGTAAGTCAGTCTGAAGTGGTGCATATCTACCCTGCCTTTTGTTATTTGTTTGTCACTGCCCATTTATGGAAAGTTTGAAGTTATATGTACACAATTTATCTATCTATGATACATAAATAAATTGTATATATAAACAAGAGAGGGAGACGGACCATCTAAAAAAAGACAAAGCCCATGGAAAAATTTAAGTTACATGTGTTTCTGTAAGTGGCACAATTTATATCAGAGAGAAAGAGAAATCACAACGTTTTGCGAATTGAAGTTCACCTCGGAGGCTGTGAAAGGGCAGCACAACATACAATATAAAAGTGGAGTAATTAGAACACAATAGATGGGAAAGTAGCAGAGCGGGGGTCCTGCGAGAGGCATCCAGGCAAAGAACCCATTGGAATACAGGGGTCACTGTTTTAACTGAAAGTCAGTCTCCCAGAGAGGAAAAAAATGTGCACTTTGCAGACTGAAAGTTTCCCCTGCTTTCATCAACAAGATTGCCAACTTACATCAGTTGACTGCAAGTCTCATTATTATTTGGTGTTTTCATAAAACTAGAGGTATGCCAATACACTGGTCCGATATAAAGCAAGTTCTCTCTCTCTGTATCTATCTATCTAATATACACACATTTTATTTTTTTTATATATATACACACACACACACACACACACACACACACACACACACACTGCTTTTGGCCAACTGTGCATACGCCACCAAGAGCACAGGCAGCAACTGGCTGCGCAGGCCCAAGTTTCAGCCACTCTTAGGGAAGTTTGTGGTGGCAGCAAACATGCCCCAGCAGCAGGTCTTCCCCATGCCTCCCTGCCTGAGGGTGAAGGGGGGAGGGGAGGGCCTGTGGCAGCACCCCCCTGCTGCCCCCCAGAACAACCAGCAGGAGGGGGAGGTGACAGGCAGGG